CCCCCCCCCCCCCCCCCCCCCCCCCCCCCCAACCTCCCCCGGCACATGCGTGCATGGGCATTCACGAGGTTGATTTGCGTTACCAGGAAACTACCGAAAAACGCCATGGACTGTACATGAAGTAGTAATAACCGTTACGGAATACGATAAATATCTTATTTGTGAGTCTAATTTTAGCCCATGCCAGAATGACAGCTTCGCCGCCAAAACTCTCATACGCGCAAAAGCAATTCGGCAAGGTACGCAGTACATTCAGTACCCAGTTTTAGACGCTGGTGTTGCCTCAGGAGCTACTTTAAAGATAATAAGGAAAAGAGGCGGTGTGTTAATGAAGAAGTGTGCCACGCGCTTTCGTATCCTGACACGCTGCTTGGAGAAAATCATTCATTCAGCCTTAGGTTATCTACTCTTTAGTGTTAGCTTTACTGGTTCGAGCTACAACAAGTGCATATCCTGTGAGCAGGCTCGCTTGTGCTTTTGTTTGAAGAAACTTTTAACGTCAGAGCCACCAGCGCGCGAGGAAAAGTCTTTTATTCTTCTCGCCGGCTTTGCTGGCTCGCGCCGCTGAAATTTTCCACGAACTCGCACAAGTGAGCCTGCGCGAAGGCTAGCCAGTGCATTAAGGTATTGTGTATATCGCTCCAATGTACAGGTATTACCTGATCACGGAGTTAGCAGCTGGTGGAGATCTTATGGATTACATCTGTTACCGCAGAAAGCTTGGTGAGGTGGAGGTTAGAAAGTTCATTCGACAAACTGTTTCTGCAGTGCATTATCTTCATCAGGGAGGGATACTTCACAGGTAAGATACAAAGAGAGGTGCTTTTTCCGTGTAAAACTTCTCTATAATAGCATTTCCAAGGATAGTGATAAATAACATCACAAACAAATATTGGAAACCGTCCCAACAGGCGGTAGGAAGGTTAGTTGGCCATCGACAGCATGGTCGAGGAATCGGTCGAGAAACCAATCCAGGCTGTGTTCTTTGAACGGGCCAAGAATTGAACTCGGACCTACCAATTACAATATGAGAGCGCTTAACACTCGGGCACGCTGCCCTCTAGGACGCAAACAGAATCGACAAAAACTGCTAGAGTAGCTAACAAGCTAATATCTTCGAGCTGACACTACATAAAAAAATAATATATAAAATAAATATATATATATATACATTAATTACATTACAAATAATAATAAAACAATAATAATTATAAACACGTTAAAGAAAAGAAAAGAAAATATTATTTACAATTCACAATTTAAGTACAAGTATGTACAAGCAAAAAGAATATACATGAAGGTAACATCCTGCATTTTGGTCTTAAAGTCTGCAAAAAAAATAGTACGAAAAAAGTCCGGCAGCGCATTCCACTGCTTAGCTGAAAAGTAAGAAAATGACTTAAGACCACAGGTAGTTGTTTTAGGTTTACTAAGTGAAAGAATGTAGTTGCATGTAGATCCATCCGTGGTGCGCGAGAAAAAGCGCAGGCGCAGAAAACAACTAGTAATCGAGCGTTTAAATCGAGCGTAAGGACATGGGTAATGTAAATGTTTGTCCCGATTTCGAATCACGAGGGGTAAGCATTTTCTGTTTGATTGGGGAATGATGACGACGATAACTGGTACCTAATAGCTACTCACGCTTACGGACGTTCCCAACAAGTCTGTAGCGAGGAAACAAGTCAGAAACACGTAGCTGCAAAAACTGTGAGGAAATAATGTAACACAGTTTGTAGGCATCAGTAATTTAAATTTTTCGTTCTTCAGGGACTTGAAAGTTGAAAATTTGCTCCTGGACGACGACTACAACATCAAAATTATAGGTAATGCTTAAGGTATTTGGTTGTATTTATAACTACGCACAAAAAATTAGTACAAAAATGGTCAGAGGGCAGGGGAATGTCACGTCGTTTCTATCTTGGTTCAGTTTCCTGGATGCCAGAGGCACGAAAAATTGGCATGAGTGAACTACCTCTTGCCTTTCCTTCCTAAAAGACAATGAA